TGAAACCTGCAAAACACATCAACATTACTTCTGTGACAGTTGCTTCCAAACATTACTTCCTGAGTAAAAGAAGCAAGCCAATGAAAATATATTGCCTTGAGAGGTCCAAACTCCCATGTTTCACTGTTGCCTTCTCTCTGAACAGGCAACACGACAGACTGACTCAGCTGCTCGTTCTGCAGCAGACTGCGCAATGGATGAATTGCCTTACCAATGGCAACAGGCTGCAACACAGGATATAGTGATTTAACACATAGTACACCCGAGCATTTAAAAGAAAACAGCAATGATCTTTTTTTATATTTAATGGAATCACAGCCATGTGTTTGTAGAACATGTTAGAAATACAATAACAGACTCTTCAATATTTTAATCACACTTGTGTTATTGTCTGAAAATGTGTATGTCAAAAATATTTTAACTTCAAAACAACCAGTTAATTAAAAATAATCATAACGTAAAGCCTTTGTTAAGAAAAACAGTAGCTCACATATCATGAAATAATTGACAAATTTCAACAAAATCAAATTACTAATAGTCAGCCTGAAGATACTTACTTTCCTTTGGTCACTCTTTCGTGAGTAAATCTTGAAAATCAGATCAGTTCTCCACCACTGTTCAACTGTGGCTGTACTGAAGTTGACAGGAAACACAGAGAGATGATGGAAGTTCACCACTAAAAAACATAATGTTTGTCAGTCACAAACCTGAAGCACCACAAGCAGCACTTTTCACTTGGGATGATTTCATTAAAGCAGATTCTCAATGGTCATACCTCTTCCTGTGACTTTACTGGAAACAACTCTGGTCACTTCCCCATCTCGGCTTGCCTTACTGCGATCATGTCGATTTGAAGTCACTGGGAACGAATACTCAACAAAATATGTACTAAAAGAAGAAAATGACATACGGTTTTGTCCCTAAAAGTTTGTATTTTTTATAACAAAGTCAGTGATTTGCATCATCATCATTATTATTATTATTATCGTTATAATTATTATTAGCATTATGATCAACAAGATTTTAAATGTTTTCCTAACCATTTCCTGGCAATTAATGGCCGAAGTGGTTTTCCTTTATTTGAGGTTTTTCTGGGTGTTGTGGGTGAGCTGCCAGCTGGTACAGTCAGAGACTCAATCGTCACTCTTGCCAGCCGCACCGAACTCAGCAAAGTCAGCTGCTCTGCACTCAGGAGAAAATGGATATTCCCACCATCTCCTGACCGCTGATTCTCTGAATTGTGGCTGGACACAGAAAAACACAGTTCCCAACCATTTCATGCATCTAAGAACAACCTGAGCCTCTGAAAGAAGCTCTAGCTCTGACTTAAAAAGAATACGTAAAGGCCCTCACCCTTCACTAATCTTGGGTGCAGACTCAGTCAGCTTTTTTGCCTGATTTTTACTTGAAGACACGATCCCTTGGCACTCCTCCTCAGTGTCAGCTAATGTGGTACCTGTAATCTGAAAGAATGACAGTTATACTAGAAAATCTGTTAAACTGACAAAGCTTACTTTACCAAAATTTAAAAAAACAAACATATAAAAGTCATCTAGTTACAGGAGTTTTGTAGAACAAATTTTCCAGCAAGCTCTGATCATACTGTGGATCATTGAGCTCGCTATCGCTACAGACACTGCTATGACCAGAAAGAGAATCAGGGCAGGGGCCTTGTCCATCCCAGAGAGGAAAAGCAGAAGTAGAGCTTTAAAGAAAAGAGAAAAAAAGGGAAAACTTTAAGTAAAAATACAACATCGTACATCTGCATCTGGATATAAATTCAAACATGGATACCTGCCAAGTACCAGATCCACAGCTCTGTTGTCTATGTCAGCAGGTCCGTCCAAGCCACTGTCTGAGATTACAGTGACATCATCAGAGTGCTTCAGAGTTAAATCAGTGTGAAGGATATTTTCAAGAAACATCCCAGAAGGAGAAGACAAGGGCCTGCAAAGAAAAGAAGAAAGTCTTACAGAAAGTGAATTGGTAAGAGAGAGGAAGCACTATTTTTTTTCAACACTAACTTTGGCAGAGGTTGGATGTTATCCTTTGGTAGAAGCAGTGGAGTATCTTTCAGAGCCGCCGCACTATCGGTGTCAGATTTCAAAGCTGATATAACCATTGCATTTCTGAGTTTGTTTCCACGGTCGAGAATAACTGAGATGAAAGAAATAAAATTTCAAAATATAGATATGCGTTTCTGCAAACTGATAATGCATGGATGCTTAAACAAACCTGAAATGATATCATTAGTTGGTTGATTTAAAGGATTCACAGCTGTTTGACTGTTCTGAGATCTGTTTGTTGTTGGCATCTGATTTTCAAGCGTCTCTTCTTCGTCCCTCTGTGCATTTTGGAAATATAAGTGGTCCTTCCCTCTGAAAATATTATAGCAACGAATAAAGTAAGATCACTGTCCTCTGATTTAAAAATGGCACTGCGTATGCCAAGATATGAGATGCTGTGCAGGTGTTTGAATTCAACTCTAAACCTTGGTGTGTTTCCGCCACTGCTCTCGGCTGATTCTTTCCCGTTGTTGGCTGAAAGCAACCTGTGCTGTGAGGGCACGGTCATTGGGGTGACTTGTCGTCGCTCGGTGCTGAGGTCTGTGTGGGGACCGGAGCCGCTGCTGTCATAAGCTTCTGTCAGTGGCTCCAAACTAAGAGCTACCTGATGAGGGGTGTAAGAAAAAGCTTAGATGTGGACTGTCCTCAATGTCACAAACTGAGTGAGCAAAGCCCAATTTCAATACAGCCAATAATACTCAGATCCAAATAAGCACTTGGCAAGTAAATATGATTTTAAGTCTACACTCACCTGTAGCTCTCCCAGCTTTTCAGACGTTGGAGATACAAGAGTGTAAAATCCACTGATTGACTGTGATAGTGACAGGCGGGAGATGCCAGTGACCTGAGCTCGTGCAACTGGCAGATGATCTGGTTTAGTTAGGGCTTCCAGCACCAAAGAGCCCATATCTGTTGATGAACAGCATAATGGAGATTAAAAGGAAATCGAAGCAGCATAGCAAACTCAAGAGCATCAACCTCTCCTAACTACCTGTAAGGTAAGAGGTGAACTGTTTTGGGCCACAGCGGATGGGGAAGCGAGCTGTGGTCTTGATAGTTTTCTGTGCCAGCTGTGATCCATCTCTGGGAAAGAAATGTGTACCGTCGGACGACTCTCCCCACCAGCGCAGCCTGATGAACGTTGCAGATGGTGGCTTGTGAACTGTCCATAAAACTCGGCCTATGGTCACCTTCAGGAAGCATCTGAGCTGGCCCTCGACCAGAGGTGGGAGACTAGTGGATGGGGACACATCACTGGGGACTGCAAGAGATAAAGTGGAAACACAAAGAAAGTAATAAAAAGAATGGGATGTTCAGTTTACCTATATTTTCTTTTATTGCCTTGAAAAACATTGGACAAATATAACAGATTGGATATGACAAATTATATCAAGCCTTCCTCTAGAAAGAAAAACATGTACTGAAAGATTTTACCTAATGTTTTTCTTTAAACGAATGAAAAATATTAGGTTAAAGAGGGAAAATTTTACTGTCAAAGTTACTTTAACCCAAACTAAAAATCACACTGACAATACTGTTCTAACTTCAGCGGGATATAACTGGTTATATGGGGCTTTCAGTTAGGTCGTATGTTACAACATAGATCCACAGAGATTTAAATCAGACCTAAATAAATTTACAGCAAAAAACACCAATGCTTATACGTTCAATGGATATTTTATAAGTTCTTTTAATATCGCCCATTGCTCTATTAGATTGAGATCTAATGACTGTGAAGGCTAGTTACGTACAATGAACTCTTTGCCATGTTCAAGAAACCAACATTAGACAATTTGAGCTTTGTGACATTGTACCCATCAAAAAATGGATACAATGTTCAGTAAAGGGATGGACATGGCCAGCAACATTACAAAGGAAGGCTGTGTTTTGTTTTTTAAACAGTTCTCAGTAAATACATACTAAGGGGTTCAAAGTGTGCCAAAACAATATCCCCACAGCCTTACACCACCAGCAGCAGCCTAAACAGGCGTACTTTAATCTTACACCAACTTGCCATGTATTAGCAAGTATTTTGGTATCTCTTATGAAATCAATACAGTCTTGTTTATGCATAAACACCACAAAAACGAAAAAGGAATAAAACAGAAACCGATTGAAGGCGCCCGTTTTAAAGAGAGATTGTATACTTTGCCTTTAGCTTTAGCATATTTTGACAAAACCACAAACAAAGGTTGCATAAAGTTGACTGCTAGAGCTACACGTAAACAAACAAAAGAGATTTGTGAAGACCGGCGAAACAAACCGAAAGACAGTGCATACAAAACAGACAGTACATAGAGAAATGTAACTAATAAGTAAGTAAACATTTGAGGCTAATCTGAGGCTGACAGCTGTCGGTAACATTACAGTAGCTAACGGCTAGCTAAACTGAGTTTACCTTTCTTTTTGCTGCCTGCAGTTCTGGCGGACCTCTGCTTTCTGCTCTTCATCCCTCAGCTCAGTAAGCATGGACTGTAACTAACAGCCAGGCCAAAGCACAGTCAGAGACGTTAGCAGGCATGTTATCGCTCTGCAGCTAACTTATAATCCTTTAAACGCAGCTGAGTGAGCGGCACACACACACACCCACAGACACTCATAATACAAACAGCAGCGCGGAAAACTGTTCCCGAGCAACGAACTACCCCGCTTCCGCTGCCGCTGCTTTTCACAGAGGCATTCTGGGAAAGTGAGTTAATTTTTGCTGCGATGTTTTTTTTTTAGAGCTATTGAATAGATTCATTCATAATAAAAATGTGGAAAACTACGACTACACAATTACTGAGCAGCATGATAACCGCCACGAGGGAGGATTTATTACACTTATATTTATGGCATTTACATTGTGTTGTACTAATACAGTAACTAACAGTGTACAATGTCTATCTTAATTATGAGGTTTTTAAACCATAATGTTTAAATAATTGCTGAAATGGAAGCAGGAATACAGAGATTAATTGGGATGGGCGGGGGGGCAAATAATATTCTGTTTTAAGACTTTTCTCTGCCATTTGCTTTTTAGCCACAGTGGACACTTTTACTTTTTGCAGCTCAACCATTACATTGAATTGAAGCGATTCTAAAATTTGTGAAATATGTATCACAATGTATGTGACACACACATATGAAAGCTTTATTTGCAATCATTTTATTCAGAAGTGTATTTTATTGGCACAAAAGTGTTTTTTCTTGTACCCAGTGTCCAACAGTCCTTTAAAACAACCATAAGTGCAGCTTCAACAATGCATCCAAAACTGTTCAACTGTGTAAAAGCAAATAAACAATAGATTAAAAAAACAACCAAACAATATATATTACTGTGAAAAATTACAAATACACCTCCGAGCTGTCTACCAGTAGAGGGAAGCCCTGGTCTTTCAGTCAAAGCTGTTCACTAACACAAGTCTGTAATGCTCCCCCCCCCCCCCCCCTTTCTTGAATCTGAGATTAAAAAGACTTGTTATTACCTATGATTCGCTTTTTATGTTGCTACTTATCTGTATTTTCCATCAGTTGTGCAAACTCACTGACTTTAAAAAGTGTTCGTTTAGTTCTCAAAACTTAGAAAGACCCATAAGGCTCTGAAGAATTTGTTTTGTGAGGAACAGAATCACCGTGTGCTCTTGACAGTGTGCCGAGGAAGACCTACGCATGACCTGATATTATGACCTCTGGTTATGTGAGCTTCAAATAGTTTGGACTTTACGCTTGCAGAGCAGCAAGTCCATCTGCAGCTATATTTGCTGTGGAAACAGTGAGAACCAGTGATAATGAGTACATCCAGAGTGCAGATTAAAACTCCTTCAGTTCTAAAAGAAACAGTAAATTTTAAAACAGACAGAAAGAAATGATTACTTTAAACCATTCTGATTATTGAGATGTTTGATTTGATGAAATAAAAATAATCTTTTTATTAATTTAAAAAATAGATGATTTAGATGATTTTTATAGGTAAGAAAATGAAACTAAATACCTAACCCAGCTTGTAACTACAGTGTTTTTTAATATAATAGTATTTAGTTATTCTTTAAATGAAATAAATTTGTGTTCTAAGATCTTTTTGCTTTGAGCATTTCCTGTGACTTACACATGACAAGCAAAGCGTTATTAGAGCTTCAGAGCAGTCGAGCCTGTCTATCCATCATCTCCCTGGGAAAACAATCCTGCTCTTTACTGTGCATGCAGGAATGTGAAACAGGCTGGTTTATATACTTGGAAGTACTGTCTGTGTACACTGCGGTGAGCAAAGGTATTATTCAGAGATCCTTTCCACTCAAGCAGCAGGGCATCTCCAAAATGTCACATACATCCAATCCTGCTTTTCCTACCTCATATAGTGAATTTCAGCACTGTTTTATGATGGGTTATGACCTACTTAGACACTCATATCTGAATAGTATGCAGTCAGGATTGTTCATGTGAGTTTACACAAGTTCCAACATTAATGAAGAGCAGAATCTGAACCTCAACTCTCTACTCTTGCTGGTTCATTTGTTCCATGAGACATTCAGTTAAATCCAACCAAATTCAAAGAGTCTCCCACAGACAGCAATGACCACATCATTCAGCCAGCTGGGAATGTGCAGGCACATTCACAATTTCTACTTCCTTTGACTCACTGGCACCACCCTGAACTTCGAGCCTGAGCTCTGACAACATTAATCTCTGGTGACTCGGATTTTAACCTCTTGAAACCTGATTCTTTCTGAGACACTGATTATCTCTGTTGACTTAGTATTTATTATTAATTTACTATTTATATTTCAAAATAAAGTTTGATTTGTAAAAGCAGATCCCTGAGTGAGCCCAGTGTAGGAACAGGGCTGTATAAGATCTCTGTTTAAAGCTGTCAGGAGGTAAACAGCCTTGCACAGTGTACTAAAGCCAGCACAGTGTGCAAAGGCAAAGGCCTCTATCCATCTGCAGGAACTGGCCAGAAAGAGCATTTCGCCCTTGGGGGCTGGCTGCCAGATGCCCCACTCCTCCTCTGCCTCCTCCTCCTCCACCATGTCCACTGCAGCAGTGTCCGCTGTACACTCCAGGATCCCTGGGGCTTTAGGGCTCCAATCACAGATGCATGCTTCCCCAGCTCTCGCTGCCCTTGCTTGTGCATCAACTTTCCTGCTGCCTCCTTCTCTCTCCCTGTAGATGTGGCTCACAATTGCAAAGGCTTGCACTCCAAAGGGGCCCAGCAATGGCTCCACCCCTTCACTCTTGAGGATTCAGACTGCAGCGATGTTGGAACTCTTGACCATACTCATGGATCCATTTGTTTGCCACTGGAACACAAAGACAGACACAAATCATGTGAAATTATCTTCTACAGAAAAAAAAAAACAGTATCATGAAAGTTTTTTTCTTTTTTTTTACTGTTGAATATTTTCAACTTGTACTTGGAGTCATTGTACTTGGAAAGTGTAGCCTGGAGGTTAATATCTGGCGATATATATGGCTGCTAAAAACAACACCTTCACTAAATACTTCTGCAGCTGTTTTTCAATGATTAATATCTTTCTGTCAGCTTATCTGAGTCCTGAACACACGTGTGATGGCCTGGTTCCAGGCATCAGCAGATGTTTACATTCCAAGTGTCTGAACTGCTCTCTGCCACATCTCTAAATGCCTAATGGGGTACAGATGTGCACCAGCATATCAGGAGAGCTGAATGCTGGATAAGCGATGGTGACTGATTTGCTACTTTCCATATTTACGCTACTTTTTCACAGCCCTGTCACATCATAATGCACCTGGGTCTTACCCCATTTGTCTCCAATAAGTACGGGGCAGCCAGCATGCAGTGTGTCGTCGTTTCCTTCACCATTTCTGTGCAGGTTCCACCAGAAGATAGCAGCTTTCTGTGACATGAAAAACAAAACAAATCATTTTGAGTATCTTAAAAAAAGAAGTGTGGTTTAAACTATGGTCAGTAACTATCAGTTATTTTAAGTACTTAATAATAAGTTCTATAGTCTTAATTTTTGGCCTATATAATATTATTAAGTAAACAAGTTTAAAAAGTGGGTATTTTATTGCGTAAGTATTTTATTTCTCCTAAAAAAAAAAAAAAAAAAGCACACTGGATTCTGCTGTTGTGCGAGGCAATTTGCTAACATGGTCCACTTGTCCCCTTAAACAGGATGTCTGCAAGTCAATACAGTCGCAGGAGGACGATATTACATCCTAGAGGTCAGTAAATGGTTTATTGTGTCTAAAAATGCTTTAAACCGTGCTTGGCATTCACAGTAACCACAGCAAACCAAATTTAAAACCTGTGGTAGATTTGGACTACCATGTTAGACCTTGTCTCCCCACGGCCATAATTAAAACACCAAAGGGGGAAATTTCTTTTCAAAGAGCATTTTTCAAAGACTTCCAGAGAGTTGAAGAATCAATGCCAAGGTGTTGGCATTTGAACACCTTGGCATTGAATATGCTGGCATTGTTTCCTAGTATTTTACTTTTTATGGTGGTGTTTCTTTTAATTTGTCACCAATGTGTATGGCTTCTCTTTCTTACTTTTTTTTTCTTTTTTTGGTCACTTTATCTTTTTCTGAAGTTTGGACAAGAAATGAGTTCTAAGGTGAAAGGTTAAACCCCAGGAATGGCCTGTTAAACTTTACACTGCAGCTCATTTATCAACCAGAAAAACATACCAAAAAACAAAAGATAAAAAAAAACCTCCACTGACTTTGCAAAGTAAAGTAGTAGTGAAATAAAGTAGTAAATTCATCTCAAGGCTATTGTTTCTGTGATCGGACATTTAGTATTTTGACACCAAACTTATTTAAATGTGTAAAAGGGAAAAATATGAAATAAAAGTAACAGATACTAAGATATTTGCAGTGTATTTACCTCCACAACAGGAACGCTGAAGTTGGCGTAAATGAACGCTGTGGACCCACCTGCCTCCACCGGGCTGAGCTGTGGAAAAGGACATTCCTTCAGAGCTGTGTCTTGTGTTTACGTGCTCATGTTATGAAAAGCCGCTCTGTCTGCTGCAGTGTTTGAAGACTCATTCTTTTTCAATCACCACCCAGCTTTACTTTTATTGTAAGGACAAAAGCACTCAGCAGAAGGACAAATTGGTTACATGAACACAAATAAAGGTTCAAATAAATGTGTTCTCCCACCAAATATTTCCTGAAGCCACCGCATCAGGACAGATAAGAAGGTGACTGTGAGAGTTTGTTTCAAGTTTGTTGCGTGGCAGAATATCCCTAAAGTGTAAATGTAGTTACTGTTGTCAGTTTCTCAGGCTTGCTGTCCAAGTTGGCCAGGTTCTCCAAATGTGTTTATTTTTAATTTAGACTTTTGGACAGCTGAAAAAGAACTGCCAAAGAACTTTTAGCTACGGGGTCAAATAGGGTCAATAGATGGTTCGGCTTTACTCACATATATCATAAATGTAGCCACCCGATTCCCAGTTTTCAACTTGAACACGGGGCTTGAAGGTGACTGTTTTTACAGAAATGCAAACAGACATTATAAAGGCAATTAAAATATCCACGATCACCATGTAAATAAGCACTAATCAACTAACGCAACAAACTTACAGTAGCATGGTCAAAATGAGGTTCATAATGGCCACCAATCCCATAATTCACCACCTGGAGGTACTCGCCATATGGATGCTTCACATTCAGACCTGTGAGCAGTGAGATCCTCTGGTCCAACTTCCCAACAATAGACTGTGCTGAGCCCTTCAGCCATGCACTAGCAATAAAAGATATTGATTAATAAAATGATACGGTGACTGAAAAGAAATACCAGCTGCATGTAGTAGTAAACCTGCAGCAGATGTTTTTATTGTTATGGCAGTAGTAGAGTAACAAGAGGTGATGTTTGTACCTCTTACTGATCCGATAGTCTGCTGTTGCTTGTTTCTCTCCAGCTGCCACTACAGACCTTCTCAGCTTGTTAGCAAAGACAGAAAAAAGCATCTTAATTTTGCGAATGTTACAGCAGCCAAACTTTAATGCATCTAAGGATGGGTTTCCATTAATCCTTCTTTCTTTTTAGGGCTTTGGAGGAAAGTGAAGCAGAACCTGAGAAAAAAGCACCGCAAATATATTTGTGTAAACCACAGAGCTTCTCCGGTTTTCATGATTGTTTTCCAATTTTCCAACAGGTATACACAAACATTTCCATGCTGAGAATCAGTAGTGAAATATTCAACTCAATATATACAGTTCAAACAATTAATCACCAAGAAAACCTATTTAAACTGTTTGTTAACAGACCTGTATTCTGGGATCTAGCAACAGCAAGCTGGAAACCATGCTCCATTCCACTCTCTGCTCCAAACTAAGACCAGGGGCCTGTTTTCAATCAGCCCACAAGCTGACATAATGATGAAATAAGTACAGGGGTTTCCATCTGAGCAAGAGATGGAAAACCCACTGAACAATGCCAAAACCTCACAGAAACTATAGGGGCAGCAAATGTGTTATCCCACCAAATATTTCCTGCATCAGAAGACTGAAGAGCTCTCAGGACGATCCACTGCAGTAAAGTTTCACTTTACTCATTGGATATTAAGACTCAGCTATCGTGGACTGAACATTTATCGGCCCCAGCTCTGTTGGTTTATTTGGACAGTTTGAGGAATTCAGCCAAGTTTTTGTAGTAATGTATTCCTCTTTTCCTTAAGCTTTGCTAAACGTTTGGAAGCACGCCAACTCTTCCGCTATATGATCCCTCCAGAATCTTCCCAGTAGGAAGTCTGGCTTAGACGCCAGCAGTCAGAGGCATTTTGTAACACACCTACACACGGTCTAGATTCAAGTCTCGTCTTTGCAAAATTAAAGAATGATCAACAAAAAGCACTAAAATTAATAGTACTCATTATGACCTACATTTCTATTCACAGCATTTTATATACATCTATATTAAAATATTAGATTCCCTCTACTCATGCATTAATTAAGTGTACCAAATTTTAAAAACTAAATGTATTAACTGTTTATAACAATTCAGCATTTGATGTTTTTCACCATCAAGAAACATGACTTAAAAGTTTACTCTGAATCTTTATCTGTTATAAATAAAAGCTCCAAAGGCCGAAAGATGTGTTTCGTTAAAGAAAAAACTTGTCAAATGATAATGTTTGTTAGTGACACACACATATACACATATACAGTGGGGCAAAAAAGTATTTAGTCAGCCACCGATTGTGCAAGTTCCCCCACTTAAAATGATGACAGAGGTCAGTAATTTGCACCAGAGGTACACTTCAACTGTGAGAGACAGAATGTGAAAAAAAAATCCATGAATCCACATGGTAGGATTTGTAAAGAATTTATTCGTAAATCAGGGTGGAAAATAAGTATTTGGTCACCTCAAACAAGGAAAATCTCTGGCTCTCACAGACCTGTAACGTCTTCTGTAAGAAGCTTTTCTGTCCCCCACTCGTTACCTGTATGAATGGCACCTGTTTGAACTCATCATCTGTATAAAAGACACCTGTCCACAGCCTCAAACAGTCAGACTCCAAACTCCGCCATGGCCAAGACCAAAGAGCTTTCGAAGGACACCAGGAAAAGTATTGTAGACCTGCACCAGACTGGGAAGAGTGAATCTACAATAGGCAAGCAGCTTGGTGTGAAAAAATCAACTGTGGGAGCAATCATCAGAAAATGGAAGACATACAAGACCACTGATAATCTCCCTCGATCTGGGGCTCCACGCAAGATCTCATCCCGTGGGGTCAAAATTATCATGAGAACGACGAGCAAAGATCCCAGAACCACACGGGGGGGCCTGGTGAATGACCTGCAGAGAGCTGGGACCAAAGTAACAAAGGTCACCATCAGTAACACACTACAACGGCAGGGAATCAAATCCCGCAGTGCCAGACGTGTTCCGCTGCTGAAGCCAGTGCATGTCCAGGCCCGTCTGAAGTTTGCCAGAGAGCACATGGATGATACAGCAGAGGATTGGGAGAATGTCATGTGGTCAGATGAAACCAAAGTAGAACTTTTTGGTATAAACTCAACTCGTTGTGTTTGGAGGAAGAAGAATACTGAGTTGCATCACAAGAACACCATACCTACTGTGAAGCATGGGGGTGGAAACATCATGCTATGGGGCTGTTTTTCTGCCAAGGGGACAGGACGACTGATCCGTGTTAAGGACAGAATGAATGGGGCCATGTATCGTGAGATTTTGAGCCAAAACCTCCTTCCATCAGTGAGAACTTTGAAGATGAAACGAGGCTGGGTCTTCCAACATGACAATGATCCAAAACACACCGCCCGGGCAACAAAGGAGTGGCTCCGTAAGAAGCATTTGAAAGTCCTGGAGTGGCCTAGCCAGTCTCCAGACCTCAACCCCATAGAAAATCTGTGGCGGGAGTTGAAAGTCCGTGTTGCTCGGCGACAGCCCCAAAACATCACTGCTCTCGAGAAGATCTGCATGGAGGAATGGGCCAAAATACCAGCTACTGTGTGTGCAAACCTGGTAAAGACCTATAGTAAACGTTTGACCTCTGTTATTGCCAACAAAGGTTATGTTACAAAGTATTGAGTTGTATTTTTGTTATTGACCAAATACTTATTTTCCACCCTGATTTACGAATAAATTCTTTACAAATCCTACCATGTGGATTCATGGATATTTTTTTCACATTCTGTCTCTCACAGTTGAAGTGTACCTCTGGTGCAAATTACTGACCTCTGTCATCATTTTAAGTGGGGGAACTTGCACAATCGGTGGCTGACTAAATACTTTTTTGCCCCACTGTATTGATTTAGTCTATTAGAACATCTATTATATGCTTCAGTTTGGCAGTCCCACACCTTAATGTGACTTTGCAAAGGAAAAAAGTGTTCATTTAGTGCTTTTGTTGATTTGACTTCTTGTTGCTAAGTTAACATTTTGCAGATTCATGTTTTGTGAGTCCCATGTGGGAAACCCCCTCCCTTTGTTGACAAGATTCTCCAAAAGTTTGGATTACAAAACCATTCAACAATCTGACGGAATCAACTAAAACACAAGACGTTAAGACACTGTTTGTTTGTTTTTTAATTCCCAAAAATCTAACGTATTGAAGGCACATGGGTTGTTTGACCACATGCGATGAGCACTCACTCCTGGCTGGGCGAGGCTCTTGATGTCTTCAGCCTCTGTGTCAGTAACAAAGTCATGGTAGAGGACCACATACGGCTGCAGGCTCACCACCTCCCGTTTTGCAGGCATCAGTATCAGTGCAGGATTGTTGTTGGTGAAGTAGTCACAGAAGAGTTGGGGATTTGCAAAATGCCTGCGCTGTAAGAAGCAACGACCATATGAAGTCTATTAACAAGATCAAAACATGGATATCCATCTACAGTTACTCATATAATGGATCTTGTCACCACATAAAAGCTTAAAAACAAAGACGACATTTAGAGTTTTTGCGGTGCTTTTTAAAGCCAAGAAAACATTTTACAGACCTAAAAATGTAGAAATTAAATGAAGTTGTTAGAGTATGCTAGGAGCGAAGCTTTATGACTTCAGATCGGCACTTTGGTCAAGACTTACATTTGTAAACTAATTTGATGGATTCATGTGTTTTTGGACAGAAATTAAGGATCCTCAGAGGATAAAATCAAATCAAATCACTGAGATTTTCCTCTGTTAGTACTGGTGGTGTTTTGGTTTTTTTTGTCAGCAGTATCTTAGTGTCAATTTCCATGTTTGTTGTTTTTATTTGATGTGAAGTTTGTGCTTGTGCTTTTATCTTGAAAGAGGCTATGTAAATAAATACGTATTTACTTTTGATGAAATAATTTCATGAGTGTGGCAGGCATGTTTCAGGTGAAAAAAGGTGAAAAAATAATTATTTTTATTGGCATACCGATGTGAAGATTTTAAAAAAGGCTCTCCAAAATTGCCTCAACTTTTATCTCACATGACATCTACATACACTGATGTAAATATTTAAATTGTAGTCCATGTAAAAATGAAAAAACAAAACATCCTCTTAAATAAAGTGCATCCTGAAACACTGAACATCCAGTGACATAAAACCCTGTAACTCAAGGCTACATTACTGTATATACATTTAAAAAGTTTGATGTGTTCCTGTCCTGATCTGCTCCTCATTATTGCAATACCTGAGAGCCTCGAGTCCGGCAGAGTCTCTCATAAGTGTCCCTGGTCCTTAAAAAACTGGAGGAGGGTCTCGTCAACCCAGTGCCTCTGGGTGGACCAGCAGCAACCAGGAGCTTCTCGTATTTCTTAACATTCTGCAAAACTCTTCCATTCATTGGATCTGAGAAAGAAAATGTGTAAACAGTCTGAGAGAGGGATGACACAGTTCACTGAGAAAAGGGGTTTTAAGAGCCTTACTGTGATGCAGTAACTCCTGAGATAGACTCAGAGCGTAGGAGACGTTTCCTGTCTGAGACAAGAAAAGGAATTCAGAGAAATCTAAATCATCAATCATGCAAATTTCCTCAGTCTGTCTGTTTACTTACTTTAAAGTGAGAAAAGGCAAGGTGATCCAAAGCATCCTCCAAAGTGCCTTCATTTTCAGGGCTCCACTCCTCTCCTGCTCCCCTGAAAAGGCGCGCAGACTCCTCCAACCACTGCACTGAGTGATAATAGTCTTCTTGTTCATAGGCCACCTGGGTACAATAACACCAAAAAAAACAAGTACTTCACAATTTAAACAGAGTCTGTCTAGAACTGAAGAGCTGAATACTGCATCCATGTCAGCCAGAATTTGTGAGGTTTTGTGGTTGCAGGGATGATTTCAGTAAGGATCACACTAACAACTGTAAGACCAGCCAGAGTCAGAGTCAGCAGCCAGAGTCAGATAGTTTCTCATGATAGTCAGCTGATATATGTTTGTGGCTGGCTGAGCCATTTTAGCCATTTCAGCTTGACTTGAATTCTTTTCTTTTGGATTTACTGGGTTAGGATCTTGTTTCATTTTTTTGCATATCACCGCCATCCTTTTTCTTAGGGTTTACTCTTCTGTGTGTCCTGTGGTGCCTTGTACCTCCTCAATTCTTCTATATGTGCTTCTTGTTAATTGCTTTCCTTTGTTCTTGTTCCACACCTTTATGGCTATTTTTGCTTTTGTTGTCTCTCCCTCACCTTCACCCTATTGTCGGCCCATCTGTTCACCCACCTGTGTTTATTCCTTGTGCTCTTCCACTTTCAGTTTTTGTTTAGTCCCCCCTTTTATCCTGCGTGTATCATGTAGCAGCTTATGTTCTACAGCTGCCATCAAGGCCCAGTTTCAGAAACCTTTCGCAGCACACTGACACCTGGAATCAAATCTCTGATAAACACACACAACCAAAATAAATGAATTCCTTCTTTGTTCTTTCAAAAACTGACTTTGTCTTTTGAATTTCTCTTTTCCTTGGGTCTCATGATTTTAGAGAAGCTCTGCAAAATCTGATAAAGTACTACAAAGTGGTGTCAGCTGAAAGATATAATTGGGAAAAAAATCTAGGTTGCAGAGTCAATAAAGTAAACCTAACAGACCTCTGCAGCCTGATTCTCATCAGTGCCTGAAGCAAGTAGATAAAAAAATAATCTGGACATTTCTGTAACCGAATATGGGCGGTAGATTTGCATTACATGTAGGCATGTCTTCCACAGAGTGTGTCCCTGCATCACATTTTCATGTATGATGTGGAAATATAAAACTGGACTACAGCATTTTTAGATTTTGAAAGTCACAAACACTAAAGGTCTCCTTTACTTAGGTTCAAAGCAGTTTAGCAGTTGACCTGACTTGATGAGGTGCTGACTAAAGGGCTGACAGCACCCACACTGAAAGTGGGTTGTAAGAGACTCCTCCCGTCACAGATTACATCCACAACCACAGCTCCATGTGTGCTATTTAACCCCCACAAACACACACAGAAGCTCACCAACTCATCACACATGCTGAGTTAATCCACCACAGGTTTACACCCACATTTCACTCTTTAATTTAAGATCAGCTATTCTTAACAGAAATAGCCTAAAGAGCAATAAATGTGTAAAAATACTCAGCTGATGAGGTAATGAGCCTGAGGGAAGCGTCAGCTGGCAACTACCTTAAAGGGCCCTAAACCTCTCCCCACTAAAACTGAGACACTCAAATTTGTGTTAAATGTGTCTGGTTTTGAAGATCAGTTTAAAAACTACATGATAGCACATGCATGCAGGAGCTCTGTTATAGAGAAAACCCTAAAACTAAGCATCTCTGCTGACTGACCGCCTCACATAATTTCAGCCCTGGTACAAGTGAAGACAAGCTTCTGCAGCATGACTTAATGTCTTTTCCATACAAGAGTATGTCTCTCCCACACAGTGCCCTACCCTTACACATAACCACTGCATGAAAACAGTGGAATTTATTGTGGGGAAAATCTCCTTTTTTCCCCCTTCTATAGAATATTATATTCATCTGCGCATGAAAAGAATTCCCAGGCACACAATGGAAAGAATCCCAGTTTTCTAGTCTAGGTTCCCACAACAGAACTATTAACAAGTCTGGGATAAAACTGCAGCCCTCTGGAATGGGATGTTAACCAGAGTGAAAACTTTTCAGGACACCAACTTCCAAATACGTTAATTTCCTTCAGTGACTCCTCCTACCTTATGTTACTCTGACAGCTGTTCCAGAAAGAAGACAGATGTGTACTTGCACCACACTTCCTTTGTTGTGCTTTTAAGAAATACAGAGTTGGCACAAATACTGTATACTCTACACTGCTTTCATTTTATGCTTCGTCACATTTTATTTGAAAACATTTATAACACAGCTATATTTTCCTGTTTAAAAGAAAACAATAATCTTGCATTGTTAAAGATTAAAGCAGGTGGTGCAGCCAACACATACAGCTGAAGCTAACAGCTGCCTGTTTAGATGTCATCTCTACTAAATCAAGTCACTGAACCTTCTCTCTCGACTTTGTTTCTGGTATTGATTTTGGAGGATTTTCTGCAGTAATCGGACAAATAATATGGCCTGCTCTGTGGTTAACTGCACTAACAGCCTGCCAAGAGGTTTGTGCACCACTTTTATGGTTTTCTCAGTGTTTGCACTAACTGAAAGTTAAGTGCAATGCCCCTTTACAGTCCACAGATAATTTAACTTCAAATTCATTTGTTCACTTCTGGCTCAAAAAACCCCAATATGGAGATGGTCAAAATGCCAGACTCAAAGCTTTAAACATCAACCCGCCAACCTTTGAATGATGTCATTGTGGCTTTATCCATCTTTTATGTAGGCTTAGGTCGTTATTAGATTCACTGATGAATGGTTTGCCTTTCAGGCAATTTGGTAAAAATTACTTTTTGATCTAAAGTGTAAAACTTAGACAAATAAGACAAAATTGTGAACACGTATTTGTGTAGCAGTAGAAGATTTTCTTTCCCAACACATTAAGCATAGGAGGAGAACATACATGGCATCGCCCATCACATGACCAAACCCTGGGCTGGGAGCCAGACGTAAAAAAAGCTACATAGTAAAACAGCACCATTATTTTTGTTACTTAAATTTTCCAAATATTTCTGTTCTTTTACATGCAGGATTGTGTTTTTTCCAAAGTACATAATTTTTTCAGTACCTTCCCAACCAGAAAGCAGTCATCACCAGAGAGCTGGACAGATACTGCAGGCATGTAGACATCCACAGACTCGCCATTAGTGACTCTCTGGAAACGGCCCCTTACAAGGCTGGAAACTTGCAGAGCATATACATCCTGCAGCCTCATTAGCCCCTTAGCAGCCCCTTGGAGGTCTTCCAGATCGGGGAGATCAGCCTCTTCCTCCTCGTAACTGGACCTGAGAGCTGGACAGCAGAGGGGCAAAAAGGTGAATGGTGAGGGGTTGGGTGGTGACAGTAGAGGGGGGTGGATGCTTAGATATCACCACCAGATGTGTCTTTGAAGAAGGCAGTGGGGCAACCTTGTAGGTTCTCGAGGGCTTCATTGCTGTAGACGACATTCAGCCACTCTGAATGAAGACGTTTGATCAAAGTAAAAGCCACCAGAGGGTTGGCCATTGTGACCGCTGGGCCTTTGTAAAGTTCTGTGTGCAGGTTGGATACTTTGGCATAAAAACTGTGTGAAGATACAGAATTATTAAACAGGGTCTTCAGACTGGAAACAATAAAAACTCAATAATTAAAATGGCATTTTATGCACAAAACATTATTTTCACCAGAAGAAAAATTAGAAGCAATTCTACAAAAAAACAAACAAACAAAACTACAGTTATTTGTATAAATTAGCGGGAGGTGACTTCGTTTTGTAACAGTGATCCTGCATACAACATTGTGAAATAAAGCCACGAAAACCTAGTCTATTTTTTCTGCTTTTTAATGACATACATATAGACTCAATACTTGAAATGTGCAATTCACTTGTATTTTTATTTTTTATTCCTATTTATTCTATTTATCCCCTTTGTATATTTTATTTATATTTGTCTCTGTATTTATATATGTGTGTGTGTGTGTGTGTATATATATATATAACAGTTCTGTAACTGTAACTTTGGTCGTTGCTGTGCTTTTTTTGGAAGTCGAATTTCCCAGAGGAACCCACCCGAGGGATTAATAAAGTTCTATCTTATCTTATCTTATAAGGTTTATGTAGTTCATTATATGATCATTTCACTATCAAGCCTCACATCTGCAACGCTTGTTCTATTACTATTTACTATGTGTGTGTGTGCAGTGTCTCCCGGGTTAATTACCACCTCTGGAAAACTCGAACAAACCGAGATAACAATACCTATGGGGGTTTCTTTTAATTCTGTGTGATATTTTCCAAGATACACATCGTTTAAATCCTTTACAATCAAATCTGTTTCCAGTGTTTCACCATTACTCACCGTTTGATGTCTTCAAGTCTGTCCAACTCGTGGTCAATGTAAGTTCTCAGGTAATCGATCAGCTTCCGTTCAACTCTGACCGCCTGCTTTACGTTCAGCAGCGATGTATACATTTCCCCTCTAACGACACTCAGGAGGCCCGAGAGAAAGCAAACAAGAACACAAAACTTCATCTCCGAAAGTGAGCTGTCCGCTCTCTTCCTCGGCAGATTCACCAGTTCTAATTGCGTCTCTCAGTTTTGCTGAACAGCACCGCTGAGCTTCAGCATTTGGAGCAGGCTCTCAGCTGATCTGAGATCAGCCTTCGCCCTCTGTTCATCATATCATACGTACAGCCTGGATTCATTCAGAACAATTAGTTTGCGCTCATGTACTCACCAACATCATCTGATTTATGGGGTTTCGCGGATGCTGATGAAATGAGTTCAGTTTTTGCAAATAATGCGATGTAATATATTTGCAATATTTTGTTTAGTTTTACTTTGAAGTCAATTTTCTAAAATGTGAAAATCAACGAGAAATCATCTGCTCTTCAAAAACTGAGTTTGGAATCACAGCGACATCTGCAGGACAAAGCTCTGCGCAACAACCAAGCTGCAGCAGCGAAGTGCCACAGCAAGGATCCCTAAAAGACGGACTGCGCCTCCCTGGTGGTGATTTTTGATCAGTACAGTGGAGGAGGAGGAGGAGGCCAGGAAACTAGCAGTGAGAATGGAATAGATAAGGAAGTGTCAAAAGCGGAAGATGGCATGGAATATTTCCCACGTGTGGGACTAATAAAGGTTATCTTATCTTATCTTATCTTATATAATCTGTGCAATCTAGGCTAAAAAATAACTGATGAGAAGGAACTCAGTGATGAGGAGAATGGCTATGTTGAGGCTGTTGTCACTCAAAGAAGGGGAAATCCCCACCTGAGAATCAAGTTTGGCTTTCAGCTAAAAATGTCATCAGGATGATCACAGAACCAAAAAACCATGACGTATCCTGGACTGATGACATCAATTACTGCTTTGACCTATTCTTGACTGAGTCCAATAGTGTTTATTGCAATGAAAGTGGAGGGGAAACAGACTTATAAAGACAACTGAAAGCAAGTAAATCAGAAAGACATCAAAGCATACATGCCTCTTTTTATTCTGAGCAGTGTGTACCTTTCCAGAAATGAATCTACCAGCAGTGTACAGTATGGGATGCAAAGTCATTTCAGAAATTTTATTAACACAACAAATAGTGATAAAATATTTATTGTTATAATTTCTCTAAAAAAGAAAAAAAAAAACAGGTCACCTGCCTAAAAAGATCATCAAAGAGGGAAAACACAATGGGTTTCAAAATTTCCATGCAAATCTCACAGTAGATTTTAGAACTGATCCTGTGTTTAAAAGTATGCATATTTATTTATTTTATCTCTGTTGTCCTCTATAATAAAATTATTCCCCATTTGTTTCTTTATTTTTTGTTTTTTGTTTTGGTGGGGGGGGGTTCTTCTAAAGTGAGATTATGTGCCGAAAATATGTATCAAACATGCTAAATTATTAATATTTTTTTAAGTTTGACATTGCTGTAAACGATCTATTTAAATATTCAGCCTGCAGTTAAAAATGAGTTAAACCGAACCAGAACAAACTCAAATGTATTTAATTCATTGTAAAGACTATTTTAGTCTTGTGTAAAGATTTTCTTTTATTATTAATATGAAGATATTTTCAGATTGCCATTGAATTGCGATGCCATGTGCAGCAAAAGTAACAAGCAGGAGACAATGACTTATTGTAAAGTAAGGAAGGCTGTAACTGTGATATTAATGATGAGATTCATCTGAAAAAAGGTGTTTTTTTCTCAGATTAAAAATTTGTGGAATTACGTTTTTAAGACTAATCTACAACAAATTTGTTGGGTAACCGAGAAGAAAATTTTTTATCTACTGCTGTAGACTTTCAACAGCTCTATTCTGTGTTCAGTTTTATTAACATCACGTGATAATCATCCTCAAAGAAATGCAGTAAACATCAAAGTCTGATAAGAAACAATATCATTATATGCATTCAAATGTTCTGCATCCAAATACTGTTGCAAGGATTTCTTTATAATACTGACAACATAAGATTTTAAACATGTGATTACTAAATGTCAAACTTATCAATAATGCTTAAATTAAAAGGTCAAAGCATTATGGTTCGCAAATTTCAGATTAAAACGGCAGAAAATGTTCACAAAGTACAGCTTTTTAAAACAGAGTGCAGTTTAAGATGATTTAATGATAATACTAACCAAAGTGTTTAAGAATAAAACTGAGATGATAAAGGCATTTTATCACAATTTTGTAGAATTTCCTTTCAGTATAAAGTGACATCTTTTAATAGTGCAGTTATTTTTTAACAAAAAAGTATTTTCTGAGATTCACTCTAAACTATTGTAGGTTAGAGATGTAATGGAGCTGTCAAACATTTATTAGTGCAAATATCTGACACAAACACATGACCAACATGAGGAGTTTCTTATTAAGATTTTAGACACCATTTATTAGCCTTTTTAAGGAAAAGAAGTCAAATCAATATTTAAATTACCACTGAAATTTTTTTTTTAAATTTACTGTAAATATTTACCTGATAATTACAGAGCCCCTATCATGAGCCAGATTCTTTGATCTGTGCAAAAATATGTGAAGGTAATATGAGGCTTTAAAAACATTAGTCAGACAAATAAACTGGATCTGTTAGATATATTTTTAAATATATTGCCTGTTTGTGTTTCCAGATTGAGCTTTAGAGGAGGAACAGTAATACAAAGAGTTTGTTTTCTCTCCAGTGTAACTTTTTCCACTTACTGTCATTTCATGAAGACTGGCTTTAGGTTATTAGTTTGTTCCACGTGCAGTATAAGAAGGAATCTGTTATTAGCCAGTGTGAATGGAAAAAATAATTACAGCGTAAAAAAAAATTGCTCGGTGTTCATTCGGGCAACTGACAGACAGAGATGCAGATACTCTGAACAGGTTTTCTGCAGGAGTCTAAACTGTTTTTTTTCAAGAAGCAGACAAGCTGTCCTGCTGTTTGCTTCTGAAATGGGGCTTGACTGTGTCTAAGCAGCAGAGGAATGTTTTCCCAATGTAGCCCCTCAGACTGTGATCTCTGAAGCCGTAGATGAGCGGGCTAAGAAAGCGTGGGATTAGGATAAAACAGAAAAAACAGAAATAGGTAACGTCTTCTACTGGCCAGTTAGTGTACAGCAATATGAGAGTTTCAGTGATGGGGAGCGTGAAAGCCAACATGCACAGAAGCAGCTGAAAGCCGTGCAGCAGCACAGTGTGCTTGGCTTTATTCACAGATACTCTGTCCTGTCTCAGCTTCCTGGTTTCCAGCAGGATTCTCACATATGTGAAGAAGATGACAACAGCCACAACTGCAAAGAACATCACACTCACAGCAGTTCTGAATAATGCTTGGATTGGAGATGAGTTGATAAGTAAATATATGCAAAGTCGAGGTGTAGAGAGGACATCTACAGCAGGACGCTGCTTTCCGATGGAGTACTCGATTATGAGGAAAATGCAGCTTGTAAACCACAGACAAAGATTAATGATCCAGATACGGCCTGAGCGCCAGGCGGCCGGGCGCTGCAGGGGATAGAAGATGGCAACATAACGCTCCAGGGACATTGCAGCCAGGATTAAAGGTGTGTTCTGATAAGTAACAGTGGATATGAACAGCAGAGGAAAACAGTAGAAAACGGGAAATTTTACCTGACCCATTACAAGTAGGAAAAGCAGCACAGAGGACAGAAGCTGCAGGGTGTCATTGATCAACATGTGGGCAAACAGGATGTAACGTGGAGTGTTTAGGAACTGCCTGTGAGATGCAAACACATGCAGCATGACAACAATGCAGTAGAGGAAGGTGCAGAAGAAGGGGATAACTGCACATACTTTGATGATAACAGACAGGCTTTTCTGGGAAGTTGCATTAAAAGGAAGTTCAGTCAGATTCTGCATTCTGCAGCTTTAAGTTGCAGCACACCTGTTAAAAAAAAAGCACAACTTAAACTTCCATATACAGAAGATAAAATAAAACATAATGCATACTATCATTTACATTTACAACAGAAATTAGCTGCCTCATGTTAATAAAATAATCAGTAAAGTCAAATCACCCTGTAATACAAACCATTTACCCATTAAAATGAGACAGTGCCTCGCTCACCTAATAACAATGACTTTGTCTGACAGAAGAGCTCAGATTTCTCTTCTTCTCAGCACACAACATGTTTTCAGCAATCAAAGTGTCAAAGATGGTCTTCTCTTGTCTGATCTGTTTGGCATCGGTTATCTTATGTTTGACTCAGTGCTGATTCCCCAGAGATAAATTAATTTCATGCTATCGTCATTAAGCATCATGGTTCTCATTAACTACAGATTACTGTAGGGAAAAGGATAAAGCACCTTTTATTTCAGGATCCATGAAAGGAAGTTAAACAAACAAGTGATTCTATATCGCAAGGCATCCAAAGCAGCAGTTGCAACAGTCAAATTAGGAAAAATGTTCTCAATTTGTATTTCTACAAATTGTTTTTTCCTTTTCAGAGCACCAAGCTCCATCTCCACCCCCAGTTTCATGCGTCCTCTTCTCCTCACCTGCAGTGCATCGTAAGTAATTAGCTCACCTGTATTTAGGACCAGCTCACACCTCCAGTCTTCGCCAGTTTGTCAGCTATTCTTTAGCAGTAAATCAGCCTCAATGCTTCGTTTAAACTTTGTAACATCCTGTGTTAACCTATTGTTCTCTTTGTCTTCAGTCTTTGGCATATCTGGATCACTACCCACACTAACCAGTTCTTTTCTTGGATTTCCTGGTGCAGATCTGCTACCCATGACTACTCACCTGCCCATTGCTGCTGCCAACCCATTGCTCAATGGAAATCTGAAAAGGATCAAAGAACTCACCTGCCTGCCGTCCTGCCCGCCGACACACACCCAGCAATATCCTCGATCTTTCTCAGTGCCTGCTTATAACCCTCCTCTCCTTCTGTAACAGTTGCTGCTGCACCTGCATGATTACCTTTCAATGCCCTGCTCTTATCCCAGACCTCTTTGTGTTGAATAAAGATTTCAGTGTTTGGAAATCTTGGTCTGTCGTGTCTGCTTTTGGGGTCCAACTCTCTCTCTTGGCCCTCACATTACACTGACTTTGCTGAATGGACACCTTGCAAATGATCATGGTTAATTGGGCCAGCTGTTTCTTGTATAAA